GACCGGTACACTTCACAAAAAAGTATACCGGTCAAACTACGTTATCATCCAATTTATTCCAGACTTCGATGAATTCACTTCTCGGAGATTACCCGGTGTAGTTTCTGAGGTTGGAAAGTGTCGGCAGAGGAGAATCTACGAGGGCTTGGCGTGTAGCGACCCGTGTCAGTAGAGGACGACTGGAGATTCTGAAGAATCCATCCAAGGCACTACCTGACAAAGGGAATAATCCCCCTCACAAGGCGACAAGGTAGCTAAGAGACGAGGCCCATCACCTCTCAACATCCGAGACACGTGCCTCCACGTGGGCGCACGTGGTCCTGTCCCCTTAGCCTAGTATAAATACTCATGTAAACCTCAGAAAGGGGGATCCGAATTCACTCTCTCTAAACTCCCTTGTAAAAGCACCCGTGCATTCTCCGTTATAATATAAATCGGGCTACAGGTGTTCCACCTAAAGTCCTACCGGTCAATTTGCGTGTTTTTTACCTTTCTTACTTTGCCAAATCAAGCGAACTATTCTAGACCCGGTCTAGTATAGTTTGACCGGTCAAGTAATTTACACCATCAATTATGATTTGGCCTTAGACTAAGAATAGTTTAAGAGCACTATTGACATTATGAATACTGAATATCGAACTTAATATTATGTGCATGATATCAAATAATTTGGATATGAATTGTGATTCAATCTATGTGAATGTTCGATGTATTAGATATCCTTACGCAACTTCACGTTGAGCGTGTAGTAGGTTTTATTTGCTACACGCAGATAAACAAAATAAAGAATAATGTGATTGATTCTAGCGGCAGATGGTGACACGAGATGTCAGATCGATAAATGTGTGATGATTTTGAACTGTTCAATAATTATTTCAAAAATGAATTATTGATTATGATGTAAAACTATTTATTAAGCTTCCACAATTTGATAAACTCCGTTGCTGTTTCTAAATGATTTATGATGATGAATAAAGTTCCAACTGTTGAAATATTTTAAATTTTCACGTTACCAAGTTAATACTTGAGTTTGAAAGGGGCTGCAGACATGGACAAATTTAGGGTATTATAATTTGTGAATTTAATTTGAACATTTTCTTTAGAAAAGGCCACTAAAACCTTGTTGTGTTTGATTATGGTGAAGTACTCTAGAAATTTCGTAAATAAGAGATTACGAGATTGAGGCCTAGCATGAATGCTTATGTTCTTTGGAGGTCCAAACTTCGTGATTTATATAGTTACATGGACCAATTTCCTTGTCACCTGAATGTATCTCACAACCCTACTTCTAAGGAGAAGGTAGAATCTAGGACGTAATCTATGTGATCATGGAATTATCCTCTTTGTCTTCTTACCATTGAACCACCCTATCCAAGCCTGATAAGCAAATTCAACACCACAAAGTGTTTGAATTCACTTATTATTGGGAAAATTAACGATAACGTGGATCAATCGAGAGTCGTGTATAACACTTTCAGATTGAATATTTCGGTTATTCAATCCAAAATTCAATCGGATAAAACTCGAAAGTAACAAGAACGAATATGGGATTGCTGTGAATTTTCGAACACCTTCAACCAAGGATTTCCAGGAATATATAGAATTGCGGTGGAGAAGAAAAGACGCGATCGCATCTTTTTATCCAATGCGTGCGATTCTTCGCGTGAAGCCTTTGAAAATTGGTGCTTATCTTTATCGATTTTTCTTTTAAAGAAATTTCGAAAATAAAAAATTCAAATGAAAATTTTTAACATAGCACTTTTTCCATGATAAAAAATTTTCGAGCTGATCTGGGGCTCTGCCCCTTGGACCCCGCAGGGGCTGCCGCCGCTTACCTTGCTCGGGGGCGCTGTCTCCGAACTCTCGATAAAACGAGATTTTTATCCTAAAAAACTCAACGAAGCGTGCACTCTGCACCACCAAACTTCTTTGATGATTATTAGGATACTATTAGTCATAGTTTTTCCAATTACACTAAAATATATAACACTTAAAATCATCAATAATACAGTTCAAATTAATAAGATTAATATAGTTTTAAAATATCAAATTTTTATGATGTTAAATTATTTTAAATTATATTTAATTCATGATCAAAGAGTGTTATAGTTTGACTAAAAAATTAAGGAAAAATTACCCAAAATAATCCCAACTTTACCCGGTCTTTCAAAAATAATCCCACCTTTCACTGTGATGTATAATAATCCCAACTTTATTGAAATTTGCCAGTTTTGGATCGCCGTTAAGTTTCTAACGGAGGGTTAACGGAAATGCCCGTTTTAGGCAACAAAATGAAAGTTGGGATTATTTTTGATGAATTTTTGTTTTTTAATTTTTTTTGAAATTTTTATTTAAAATTTTTGAATTACTTTCAACCTCAATTTCTTTTTCTTTTTTAAAGATTATTCTTACCTTACAAAAAATAGATATAAAAATAATGAAAATGAGAAAAATAACTAAAACCATACAAAATTAATCAAATAAATAATGTAATCAATAGAAATTAAACAGAAACTGGTAAGAAATAAAATAAATATATACGGAGTGGTGAGTTTTAACATTTTACACACTATACGGAGTCTTAATGTACTACTTCTTTCGTCCCAGAGTATTTGTCAAATTTCATTTTTACACATCATCCAATACACTTCTTTAATCCATTTTATCTTGTAATTTGTATATTAAATAATTATAGAAATTATATATTAATAATCTATATGCTAGGACAAATCAAACAACATCACACATGACTATATTTAGGCTTACACATTGAGAGAATTTGATGAGTCAATATGATTAGATGAACAGTTCCAAAAGTAAAAAGTGGACGAATATAGCTGGACGGAGGGAGTACTTATATTTTAAAAGAACAAGCCGTCCGGTAAAGTTAGAATTATTTTAGATAATTTTTTCTAAAAAATAAGAAGTGATATGTTAATACTTTGTATAATGCATAAAATATTAAAATCCACCCGTATATTTTTATTTTACTTTTACCAATTTCAAGTTAGTTTCCATTGATTACCTTATTTGTTTTATTATTTTTGTATCATTTTAGTTACATTTCTTATTTTTTTCATTTTTTATATCTATTATTTTTATTTTTTAAACTAAGACTAATCTTTAAAAAAGGAAAAAGAAATGACGATGGAGGTAGAAAGTAATTTAAAAAATTTAAATGAAAAATTTTTAAAAAAAAATAATAAAAATGAAATTTCATCAAAAATAATCTCAACTTTCATTTTGTTGTCTAAAATGGGCATTTCCGTTAACCCTCCGTTAGAAACTTAACGGCGACCCAAAACTGACAAATTTCAGTAAAGTTGGGATTATTATGCATCACACTGAAAGGTGAGATTATTTTTGAAAGACCGGATAAAGTTGGGATTATTTTGGGTAATTTTTCCAAAAATTAAACTTTAATCTTGGGAGTTTTTTGTAAAAAAAAAAGGGTTATTAGGATTTGGAAGTTCTTCTTACAACGCCGCGGAACAACGCCGCCACGCACTCCACAATTTCCTCGTTTAATGTACGAGGAATGACCGTCCTTCGCTCTATCGGACGATGACATGGCACGCCCACCGCAGAATCCGCAATTGAGTCCCCACGCACATTCAACCCAATACACTGCCTTTTGTCCCCCCCGTTTCGCCTTTTATGTTTTGATGATGTCCGAACGAAAACAAAAAAACAAGAGGAAAAAAGACTCCATTNGGGGGGGGATTAACGAAAGAGCTGCGGCAGAGTGGAGTGAAGGACGGCGGCGGGGTGGGTTTTTTTAATCTTTATCTGCAATGACACTCGCCGGACCCTGCTCCGCAGACGTGAAAACCCGCGGTGGTGCCGGCGGCGGAGGTGCTCTGACGGTGGTCGGAGTGAAAATGGATTCCCGGAGCAAAGAGTTGCTAACGTGGGCTCTGGTTAAAGTTGCTCAGCCTGGAGATCGCGTCATTGCTCTTCACGTCCTCAATCCCAACACTGGTATATATTTATTTATCTAAAGGGGTTAGAAAAAAAATGTGATTTTTACAAGATTGTGGCCAAGTTTTTTTAGATTTTTTTGCCTTTGAAGATAATTGCTACCCTTAGATATCACAATTTGATATGAATTTGTTGTTCAGTTTGTTTAATTTATTTTCTTTCTTTCTTCTTGTTTTTCAATTTTCAGAAGATGAATCAGAGTTGTTATCCATGGTGAAGACGTTTGATTCAGTGCTGGCTTCTTTTGAAGGCTTCTGCAGCTTAAAGCAGGTGTCTTTAATCAATGTTTATTACTACTTCTGCTATATTTCCTTTTTGGAACTTGAGTATACTTAAAGCAGCTAATCAATATTCGAACTCGAATCTATTTAAAGCAAGATGACAATTATAGCCCATTTTTTAACCCGAGTTTAGCATTTCGTTCGGGTGGTGAGGGAAAAAGGGTAAAGGGGATATCCACCCCAATCCAAAGCATCTTTGAGGGTGTTGGTAGTGCGGCGTTTTTAAGAATTTAGCTCCTGCTTTGGGTGGTAACCGTTTTACTCTGTTTGGCATGCCAACTTTTGCCTTTTCCCACCACCATTTTGTACATAGAAGATAGGACATTATTTTAGAGAAGCATATATAAGGCGTTTTTGGTTTCGGCTTTTGTGAAAATCACTTTAATCACTTCCAAACACCCTCTTCATCGTGTTCCAAATGATGGTCTTAGGCATCATATTGTCGTAGTAATGCATAGTAATTGATTATTGGTTATAGTTAAGGAGATGGATGATTAAAAAATATAGTAATCTCGTTGTCCCAAAATGGGTTCTCGTGTGAAAAAGACACGAATTTTAAGGGTAGAATGACAATTGGAAGTGCTTATTGGGGAAAATGAGTATTTAATATGACATGTGGTAGAATTTCTTATTGTGCAATTGAGGGGGTGAAAGTGACACTTCACTAGTACAAAAGGGTAATGGGAAGATGAATGAGATATAGCCAAAAGATGTAAGTGAGAAGATGATTTGGGAAAAGAGGGAGTAATGAGAAGGGATACAATGCCTAATAGGCTTGGTGCCGAAAAACATTTAGCAATGCCTAATGCTTATTTGGGATTTGAGCCTATTTTAAAATAATGTTATTGCCTCCAAAAGTGATTGCAGACCGTAAAAGAGTTTTTGAATTCCACTAATATGACATTCATTTGTAAATGATATCATTGGATTGCGTTTGGGTTATGAATAATTAGAAGTACCTCTATGAAGAAAACTTGCAAGTTGCAACTTCTCTGAAGTACAATTACTCTTTTACAGGTTGATTTGAAGTTGAAGGTGTGTAGGGGATCACCTAACCGCGTGATTCTAGCCCGTGAGGCAAAAAATTGTAGAGCTACAAATTTGGTAGTTGGCACTTCATACACCCACCATACTATCCTCTCATCAGTTGCAGTTGCAAAGTATTGTTCCCGGAATGTTGGTAAGGGCATCTCAGTCATTGCTGTTGATGATGGAAAAATCATCTTCCAAAGGGCAGCACGTGCTTCGTTTTGCCAAACGTGTCACTATGATGTGCCAGAGGCTAGGTCTAATAGTCTGGCTTTGGTAACAATCAAGTCTATGGATATGCCTGTGCCAAAGAGAGGATGGTCATTGCTTAGAAGAGTGCATCTTCAAAACCACAATCATTCAAGAAAATCATCGGCGAAAAGGCCATCTTTCATGCAACGGGTGATAAATCCTCAAAATGGCCAGTCTTTTGCTGCTATTTACCCAGATCACAAACAAAGTAAATGTGAGGACAAAAGAAATAACGGTGCTATTGTACCCACCTCGAATGAGAATAACTGTCCTTCAATTTGCAAGGAATTAGAGGGTCTTTCTAAGAAGTATTCATCTGTCTATAGATTGTTTAGCTACCGGGAACTTTTGACTGCAACAGCTAATTTTGCTCCAGGTTTGTTGGTTGTCGAGAATCTTCTGTCTTTAATTGGCTAAATATGAATAAACGTACTCTCTAATAAGTATTGGTCAATCATCACTCCTTGAGAGCTCTTTTGGTTGAGTTGAATTCAATACACTAGCACACACTTCTGATAGTGTTTGAATTGATTGGTTTTGTCAATTACATTCTTCAGAAAATTTGATTGGAAAAGGTGGGAGTAGTATAGTTTACAAAGGGCGTCTTCTTCCACATGGCAACCAAGTGGCAGTTAAATCACTGAAGCAATCAGAAACTATGGTGACACAGTTTTGTTCAGAAATAGAGATTCTTGCAACTCTGCACCACAAAAACATCATTTCGCTCCTCGGCTTTTGCTTTGAACAAAGCAACCTTCTGTTGGTTTATAATCTCTTGTCTAGAGGAAGCCTCGAAGACAATCTCCATGCCATTAGAAGACTTCCAGGTTGTTGTTGTGTTGATGATGAGCAAAAATCTTCAGCGTGCTTCAAGAGCACCAAGCACTAAGTGCTCCGAAACACTGAAATGTGTACGTTTTGTGGGACTCACTTAAATAACTGGAGGACCCACAATGTGCTTAGTGCTCCTAAATCACAGAGTTTTTCCCTTAATGATTTTGAAGTTTGCTTTACTGACAGCTATACTATATAAACTATTATAGGTACACAGGATGGCGGGAATGCATTTGATTGGCAGGCCAGGTACAAGGTTGCTTTAGGTATTGCTGAGGCATTGGACCATCTGCACACATTACCCAGCAAACCTGTCATTCATAGGGATGTTAAATCCTCAAATATTCTTCTTTCTGATGATTTTGAGCCACAGGTGCATAATAAATTAGCTTTGAAATTACAATGAAAGACTATAACAATAAGAGAATATTATTAAGAAATGTAATGTTGGTGTTACAGCTATCCGATTTCGGGCTCACAACACCGCTGTCCTCAAGTTCATCATCATGTCGCCTAGATGGCATCGACGTTGCTGGGACATTTGGGTAAGCAAAGTTATCATATCTCATCCATCTTTAATTTTCCAGTTATTTATTTGCTAGGAGCAAAATCATCTCACATTAACAGATATTAAAATATAAACGAATGTTTAAGACATGTTCTTTCTCCAGTTCACCTTTAAGGATGTTTAAGACATGTTCTTTCTTAACACTAACTAATTGTTCTTTCTTGCAGCTACTTGGCTCCGGAATATTTTACGCACGGAAAAGTAAGCGAAAAAATGGATGTGTACTCGTTTGGAGTTGTGCTGCTTGAGCTTTTGTCGGGTAGAAAACCGATTGACAATAGGAATACCAAAGGACACACAAGTTTAGTGTTGTGGGTAAGTTCTATCTCTTGAATCAAACTTGAAAAATGTATGCTTTAGTTCTTTGCCTTTAACTTTGAGTTGATCAATGAAACCACCATAGACCCCACAAATAGTCATCTAAGATGCTCATTAAAAATAAGTTGATTATTTAGTTCTTTGCTTAGACGTGTTTGAAGTTTATTTTTCTCCACAAAAAAAGTTTACAAAATGAAAAGAATCTAAATTTTCATCACATAAAAAAACTACGAGTATAAGAGAAGTGTTTGAAACAATTTTATGTGTGTTAAATCATGTTAAACCCACAAATAAAATTTAAAATATAGGTATTTTCATTATTTTTATGTCATACGTACTAGAATTAAAAAGTTGGGCTTTCGTAAAATGAGACTACTTTTATGAGACTGATGGAGTAATAATAATTGTAAACTAATTACTGTAATATTCCTAATAACAACCCTCTGTTTTGGCCTTTTCATGAGCAACACGCCATTTTTTAAAAAGCTTTTTTATACTTTTGACATGCCACAGGCAGAAGAAATATTGAGGGATGGGAAACCTACATCATTGCTAGATGTAACCCTAATTGAGACATATGACCATGATCAGTTTGAGAGAATAACGCTAGCAGCACAACTATGCATTAATCGTGAACCGTTATTTCGTCCCGCGATGAACCATGTAAGCAAACTTTTAAACAGGTCTACGCATCTCTTTCCTTTAGATAATTGCACAAACTTAACAGTTTTCTTTAAACAGGTCGTTAGGCTTCTCCGAGGTGAACCAGATGCAATGAATCTGGCAAGGCAACGTGGCAATGGCTTAGAGGAATCGGGCGGGGATAAACATGGAAAAAATAACATCCAGTCCCTAATTAATCTCGCTTTGCTGAACCTGGCAGACGATAACATTCAAAACATCTCTGTAGAGTCTTATTTACAGGGCAGGCTGAGCTGTTGTTCCTCAAGCTTTGGTTAGAAGTTAGAACTTAAGACAATTTATTTTTTTCCCCAGACAATATAACATTATTCTTTTGTATGTAAAATGCACATTGTTTTCTGAAGATGAGAGGAAATGCAAAGCTTTTGAAGAATTACTCTATTTGGAAAACTAACTGTTAACCACATAGAAAGGTCTTTTACCAAGATCTGTAAACAAAAAACAAACAAGTGAAAAATCATATAAACATTCCTATGGAATCCTGCATTTACAGGTTGATCACCCTTTGGAACTTCCCTGAGATATTGTCCAAGTCAATGACTTCATTCCCCTTTCCACCATTTTGAATCAGATAAAGTTCTGAATGCAGCTCAGCTATTTGCTTTCTCAGTTTCTCTCCTTTATCAGGCAGAATCATACCCTGAGTTGTATATATTTAAGTTTTTGAGTTAGTGTCTTAGCAGGCGGGAGAAAAAAAACAGACGCGTGGAGTTTTAGAACTAGTGCAATAAGCTCAACACCTTTTCTGCAAGCATATGAGAAAGTCTTTTGATTCGATCTCTGATTTCGGCCTTGCTTTGACGTGCTACGGTACTAGACGGTTTCTTAGGCATCTGCGAATTTACATCTTTAGGGTTGAATGCATACTGTGCCCATCTGGACAACCAAACAGGTTTATAACACTTCAACAACTGAATATTTTCAAAACCATGATATGTGGATTATAAACAAAAAATCGGCCAAGATACTTACTCATTGGCAACAGGTTCGACCGATGAGCGCGAGGGGACATTTCCCACAACTGCAGACCTTCTTACACTGCAACCAAGGAATACAAAAAAGTTCAGAGTTAATGCCCAATGTTCATACATATGTAAACCGTGGGGACATATTTTAAAACGCTAATTCCTCATCACTTCATTTAACCAACCAAACATTTCACTTTAAAGTTCTGGTTTTCTCCCATCATTCTCCACATCTCCTCCCTTCCATCCCATCATTTGAACCCAACGAGTAAAAGTAACGAAAACAGATTATTAGAACTAACATACACTCTAGTGTGAAGGAAATTGCACCAAGGTGAAATGAAACATTAACTCGTATACTTTCTTAAGTGACTAACCTGCAAACATCCTCATCGTCCTCAGCAACTGGTACAGGGGCTGTTTTAGAAAATAGCAGACTGTGTTGACTAACTCCCCCAATATCCATAGTGCCTAGAAACTCCATTTCTTCTTTTAGGGATCCTTCCCTGCTAACCACAAATGACCATGAATAATTAAACACACAAAGAAGAACCTTAATATCATACTCGGGAAATTTAAAATATGAAACAGTGGAATACATTTTGTGGTGGCCATCATGCTCCTCGTGCAGCTGCTGTTGAGTCAAGGAGACATCAAACCCCTGTTTAGGTATGCTAAACAGTTCCTGTAAATCCTGAAATTTGTAAAATTACATGTCATTACATGTATGGGAAGGCCTGCCATAAGATGATCATAAGAAAAATGAAGATTATATGAATGCACATGTAGGATTTATGCCATACCTCTCTACTAAAGTAGCGTGTTTGTTCTTTGTGCTCTGTTGCAGTTTTGAACAAACCCCCCTTGAATACCTGTTGTAGAAATTAAAAAACGAAATTAGAGAATCCAGTGTGCTGCTTTTCAGATTTCCAAGATAAAAAAATCTATAATGCAGTGTGCTGTTTTTCAGAAACCTTAGTAAACTTCTGGGGAAAAGCTATTTTTCAGATTTCCAAGATAAAATCTATAATGCAGCTTTTTGTCATGTAGTACCCAAAACCCACATGATTTAATTGTAAAAGTAACAAGAAACAAGTTTCCCATGTGCAAGATGTAAATGAAAATAACTGTGGACCTGCTTTCTGTAGATCTTTTCCTCAACTGTACCACATGTCATCAATCTATAGACAACCACATCCTTCCTTTGCCCAATACGATAAGCACGGTCAACACTTTGATTATCAGTACTGCACAGAATTAAAAAGATCAGTTATGAATGCAGAATATCCAAGAACGATATGATGATGATGATAGCGAGCAATTGGTTGCAGACGCAACGTCACATGCCACCAAATGTGCACATGTATATATTTTGGTTGTATGACCTTGACGCTTTTATATTTTGGCGTATATTTGGTTGTATTCACTTTTACTCCGTATTTCACACCATAGTGAAAGAAATAATCGCCACCATAAGTCATTCAGAAATCATACTAGATGTGTAGTCAGGCATGTACCTTGGATTCCATGCTGGATCAACCACAATTACACGATCTGCTTTAGTGAGTGTAAGACCCAATCCACCGACTTGAGAAGTTAAAAGGAAGATCGGAGCACCAGGACCCTCTTGAAAATTCTATATATAAATAGGTAATTAGCTAATATTGAATGATGCATATCCGTAAAAATATATATACCCCAGAGTATAAGATAATCTCCAAGAACACATACATTAACAATTTTCAGTCTGTCGGCAGCTTTAGTAGTCCCATCAATCCGCAAGAATTTAAGCCCACTGGAGATTAAAGAGGCCTAGGGAAAAAATTGGATAAATGACATTTAAACAGACCACAGCTATTAAAATAAACTAAAATAAAATGATAGGATGCAAAAGTGATAGTTACCTGAATCTGATCAAGCATCTTACGTGTTTGTGAAAAAATAAGGACATGGTGTCCTTTTGGAATCAAAAAATCCTACAGTAAAGAATCAATAGCATTAGCAATGTGCATTGATGATGTAGGTAAGGTAACATTGATGTTGACGGTAACTAACCAGCAACTGCATTATGAAAGTAATCTTGCAAGATATATTCTGGTTATCCTCAAAATCTAACTTCTCAGCTGCATCTGCCATTTGCATTGCTAATCTTTCAGCCATAGCACGATCGTCTTGGCTTGGCTCTGAGATGGATTCCATCCCTTCCAAAACTTCTTCGGCAGCTCTTTTGGTTAGCAAAAGAGGATGGTCACAGATTTTTTTCAAAATCTGTGTATTGAAATTTTCATTTTGCTCAGGTTTCATTTGTTTGAACAATGGAATTGAGGAATGGTAGTAGCAAGAGTTTGTTATTGGAATGGGTGGAGTATATTTCAATATCCTTTCACAAAACGAGGTTTGTTTCCACCAAAATCAAAAGTAAGTTGTCTGAAATTGGTTTGGTTTTTAAAACGAACAATAAACAATATAGTTTTCACTTAGAATCAATCCTCATGAGAACAATACTTTATTTACTCCATTACTTATTTATTGACCATTTACACCATCTGCCCCATTAAATTCTTGAAACTTTAACTTTGTGGAATTTAAGAAAGTTGTTGAAAAGTAAAGTGTGGTTAGAATTTGTTTAGAGGAGAGAATTGTTGGTAGCCACATACTCATTACCAAAATAGGAAATAAAGTGTAAAGTTCTTTTTGGGATGTTCAAAAAAAGGAAAGTGTAAAGAATTTTATGGGATGGAGGGAGTACAATTTATGTGTGTACACCGATCACAGTCACATAGACCAATTAATCCTCCTAATATTCATTAGGATAGAGTCGGGCATTAGTATTATATTATAATGGAGTTTAAAAAAATAGTGTGCTTCACTGAGCCAAAGAAAATATCATCATAGCAATCTACGTAGAATGCAACAAGTGTTTAGATAAAGCATTACCGTTAATGCTGCTAATGGTGAGCTATCACAAGCTGAAAGTACTATCTCACTCTTTAGAAATGCAACATAAAGTTGACGCTACACCAAAAATTGGAGTAATAGAATAAGTATTACGTCGTGCAACAAATCCATGAACAGAAAAACTATTCACCCAAGGAAAGTCGATCTGGAAGCACAAATACATACCTGGCAACTAGTTAATTTTAGCCACACACACATCTCATTTTTCTTAGAAAGCTTTATGCCACTTGAGGCATCATCTGTAAATACCTCACTTTTAAGACGTCGCAAAAAGTATGGTTGTATGCGGTCTCGCAACTCCTGTTAAGAAAAAATAAGAATAATTAAGAACAAGAGATAAGCAATCCTTATGGATAGTTAAGAACCCAACAATATAAAGAGAAAAAAACATTTTTAAATATTTTAGACTATTTCTAGTTGCATTTTCAGGCATAATTAAGATACAGCATAGTGGTACCATAGGACATTTGATCATTCAAACACCTATGTCACTCTGAACGTGATCTTGTGTGTATGGATATAGATTGAGCCATACACTCATTAGAAAAGAAATTACTTGTTCAACATAAATAATGGGTTATTTCACCCTTAATATGCTGTTATTCAAAGACTTGAAAATCTTGGGCAAGGATCATGAAGTGAATATAAAAAAGAGTTAGGAAAAAACCATACAGTTATAATTAATAAGTTGATGTACAAATTGCATCTGACGTGAAAAAGAAAACACAAAGCACGCGCACACGGAAACAAGAACAGTATTTGGACTACACCCGTTACCTGTGCCACTGCTGAACTGATACGCTTTTCCCTATCTGATGCATTCTTTTCATTTCCACGAAGAATAAAATGCTCATATTTTTCTTTAAACCTGAAGCCAAATTGAAAGTACTATCATGTTGATGAAGTTAAGATCTAAGCAAACTTAAATATGTATAAATAACTACCATATCTTATCACCAAGCAGGCCAGGACAACAGAAGTTGAATAGGGCCCATAGTTCCTACATTTAAAAATAAGAAAACTCTAAGACCTGTAATTTATGTTAGATACAACAATTGAGTGAAAAGTATAACATGAATAAAGATCACATGGCTTAAAGGAAATAAGTGAAGGCTAAAGGCTAACATAGAATCAATCATACCTTTAGATTGTTTTGAAGTGGTGTCCCACTAATAATGATACGGTGAACACAAGGTATCTCATGTAAACTTTTTGCTCTCTGTGTGCTTGGATTTTTTATCAAATGCCCCTATGACAGTCCGAGGAAAAAAATAGTATTTACGAAAAGAACCAAATAATCATGTAAGTTTGGTCGAACTCAAAGTACCTAACCATTCAAATATACCATACTAAATGATTTTGTTCAATTTAGTCCTTCAACTGGATGTCCTAA